CAGGAACTGGCTGGACTTCTCCGTTGTGTTTTTCTCTTTCCTTGAGCTGCTGGCTGCCTCTATGCTGCTGGGCTTTCTAGAGAACCCATTTGGGGTTACACAAAAAACGTGACCCTTGGGGGGGTCTTGGGTTACCCAAGTGAGGGCTGTAGGGGGCTGACACAGGGGGTAGGTCCAGCCTTCTTTCAGTGACGTGGGAAGTGCATGGGGCCTGGGATGCTTTAGAATTGTAGAACTTATATGTGAATACATGTGGGTCCAGCATTCGGGGGAGGGAGACATAGGTCTGGTTTTCAAGTCATGTGGTTGAACGTGGCTTCGGATTGCATCTTTAGCATTCTGGCCCTTCGAGTTGACAAGTAGAAAATTGTTCTTGCTATACATACTAGCACCAATACTCTTACTATCATTCGTGCTCTTAAGAGATAATGAAGATAAAGTATCTCGGAGCGCCCTTCCCTCGGAAACTATCTCATGGTCTTCCCATGCAGGTTCGATGATGATGTCTGCTTGAGCGCATCGTTTTATCTCTGCTACGGTCAAGATTAGGTTTAGCAAGGGAGGAGCCCATGTCCATCAATTATATGAGAAAAATTACTGTAGTTCATATTATGCTTGGGGGAAGGCTTCACGTTCTTAAGTGGGCGCCCCGCTGTTTTGATGAGAGCCCCGGTTGAAGATGCCAAGCCCTGGGCACAAGATTTGGGTTCAGGACATGGCTTGGCACAAGGACTTTCTGAGACTAAGATTCTGCTTCAAGAGTTGCACAAATGTGGGTGTAAGCAGATTTAGGTTCACTGTACGCCCTCTCAGAAATAGGCTCCAGATTATAAAGAACCCCAAATACAGGGACGCATGTTTCTGACATATCTCCATGCATGGAAAGCATTGTTCTTTTCATGCAACTCCTGCATGCACTTTTCTCAAAGGAATACCCTTGTCGGGATTTGCCACTTCAGCCATGAATCCTTTAAAGCCTTAGCCCTGAACCCCTAAACCCTTAACTTGACTCTAAATCCTACATCCTCAATCAACTGGACCCCCAAACCCTCAAACCTGGGTTGCTGTTAAGGAACTTAATCTAAATTACAATATTGAGCAAACCTTATTCTGTACTATATACAACCATTACTGTAGCTGAATTTAAGTTCCGTAACAGCAACCCAGTAAATCCCAAATCCTATACCCCCCCTCCCCATCTGTTTTGATGAGCTCAGTCAGGCCTGGCTCCTCAACGGCTTCTTGGAGAAGATAGAGGGCAAACCCTTAGGGTATAAGGGCTTTTCATGGGATTAGGCTTTAGGGTTTGGGTTTTCTACAGATTTAGGATTTTAGGATCTATACCGTGTAAAGTGCTTTCTTTTTGGCTGTTTTTAGGTGGTTTGTGCTATGATTTTACTTGCGTTTGGGGCCCAGGTAGGGTTATCATGGGATCCCCTACTACCCCGCCTTCACTACCCTCTAATTAAGTTCCTCCCCGCCCCAAAATGAATTTAATTCGGATGACTTAGATGATTAAGGGGGAACCTTGGGGGGCTAGTCTAAGTTGGGGGTGTAGTAGGGAAACCCGTCAGGGTGTAGGGTCCCGAACCCATTAGGGTTTAGGGTCCCTTCAAAACGGGCTGTACAGGGCCAAGGTTTTAGGGCTCAAGGGTTTCAGTGTTTTGGGTTAGGTTAGGATCTTAGTTTTTGAGGGCTTAGGCTTCAGGGGCATAGTGAATCGGTAGAGCGGAAAATCAAGTAAAAAACTGATCCAGAAAATCAGATGGAAACCCGGTTTACACAGAGCCGAATTATCGAAGATTGTACTGTACTTGGTGTATCTTTTTCGCTAACCTCAGAGGAATTCCAAATCCCGCCATGTGCGAATTTCTGAAGACCACCCTATAGCATCCTGAGGGGCACCCCCTTTTAATATTCCCTCATATGGGTGGTTATCAAAATTATGGTCCTTTTTTGGGTATCCTAAATATTAGGTGCCGTTGTATAATAGGGATCCATAAAGGGCCCAGAATTTTGACAATCACTCATATGGGGATTTCCCAAAATTACGGTCTTTTTTTTACGGGTCCCTGTAATAAGGATGGTGGTATGTAGGCCCGGGTCTGTATTGGGTTCCCTCCCTAAACCCTAAACCCTAGGCAGGGGAGCTACCATATATCAGGAAGCTACCATATTTCATATAAACCCTAAACCCTAAACCCTAAACCATATATCCCCAAGCTCCTCCACCAGGTCCTACGTCTTGTACGCCTTGCGAAGCTTGCGCGGGGCCTGCGTGTTGTGCGCATGGCACGAGTCATGGACTCGTTGCACCTCCTGCTCCTTGCCTTGCATGAAGCTGGGGCTCTAAGTCTATGAAAAATGAAGTTTAAGGGATTTTGGTAACCCCAGCCCCTAAAATAAGGACCCTATAGCAATCATATGATAGTCATAGGGTCCTAATTTGGGGGGTCGGGGTTATCAAAATCCTTTTATTTATATACTTACTGTCTACACTTGGCCCGAAAGACACAAAGTTCCCGCATAGAGTCTTAGCGTGAGCAGAGGCTCATTTTGAATTTGCACAACTTAGACGTCCTAGGAGCTGCTATCATGAGGAGACTAGTTTTTAGGTTTAGGGTTTAGGGGAATATCAGGGGAACCCATCTTTGGAGAACGCACGTGCTTGTACAGTCTTGACTGTTCTTCTAGGTGCGGTGATGATACTGACACCGTTTTCAGTTTGGCTCATGGATCATGGAAAACGTGGGATGGTTGCAGTTCCGTGTTGTGTTTTGTAACTGAATGTGTATAGAAATGAGAACGAATCCTTCTGAACATTGCGCTGCCGTCAGCGGCATGACTCAACAAAGCTGCTGTAGCCCAAGAGGAAGACCGTCATTGTTCGCATATGGTAGTTTCCCAACAAAAGGGGACCCCAATATAGACCGGGCTCGTCTCAATCTTGTACTGTTTCTCATGTTAGTCCAGACGCGCGCTGCAGCAGAAAGAAGACCCGCATAAGCCATTTAAGGACCCTCCCCCCTTTAACATGAGGGCCGTAGCCCACGAAGATCAAGCTCTGCACAAGGTGTGCTGTTGAGGTTTGCAGCATGGCAGTTGTCATTATCGTCATAGTTTGTGTGACAGATCTCATTGGTTGATGAAGCTCCTACGAACTAATCTCTACCTTAGCCGAAACAGCATTGACATGATTTCTGCTGCCTCCTCTCCTTCTTACTCTTCGTCCTGGTGCAGCAAGAAGAAGAAGTAGCATTGCACACTCTAAAACCCCTTGCCGCCAGCCCCCAGCAAGGCTCAAGAGCATTGGCGCTAGCTTCACCATGCTCTTGTGGTCCATGCTGCTCATCGGTGTCATCCAATGCACTGCGGGCCACCGGGCTCAACAAATGCAAGTGCTTGAAGAATATTGAATCTGTTGCGTCACGTTGTTCCAGGTTAGCGAGCCTCTTTGCACCCCCGAAAGGGAGTCCTACTGTACAAGTGGCTCATCCTGTTTGCAAAGCTCCTCAAAATGTTCCCGTGCAGGCATGATCATTGGCTATCTGGTCATGGACCACTTGGAGCAGGACAACCCGAAACCTCCAATCCCAAATCCTACCCTGAACTACCCTGAACCCTGAATGCCAGACCTTAAATCCCGAACCCTAAATCCTAAGCTCCACATCCGGAACCCTAAATCCTAAGCCCCACACCCTAAACCCTGAATCCTAGGTCCTAAACCCTACATCCTAAGTCCTAAATTCTGAGCCCCAAAGTCTCAGATCCTGGGTCACGTGGAGCAGGACACCTCTCAATCCGACGAGGTGCGACATCTGATCTACAGGCCTGCCAAAGAGCACAAGCTAAGCTAACCACACTTTAGGGTTATGGGGGTTATAGGTTTTATATAGGGATAATGGAAAATAGAATGGAAACTATAGGGATTGTAGAGACAATTTTTTTGTGGTTGAAGAGGTGTAGGGTTTAGGGGTTTAGGCTTTTGGAGTTTTGGGGTTTAGGGTTTAGTGGTTCTGGTGTTGGGGTTTAGGGTTTAGGGGTTTAGGGCTTTTGGGCTTTACTGGTTTAGGGTTTGGTGGTTTTAGAGCTTCACCTAGACCTCTGATACCCCAATCACATGGAAAAGAACATGGAACATGAAATGGGAACTCTATGTCTGATTCGACCCCTATACCCTGCCAACTTTTTGAGGATACCTGACCCTATGTCTAGCATCTTGAAAGTAGACATCCAGTAAGGTACCCTTAAAATAGGGGTAGGGCACAGTGTTTTCTGAGAAGCGGTCTGGGGGTCCTTAAACTAAAGGCAAGCTTCAGGATTTAGGGATTAGGGTTTAGGGTTTAGGGAATACTCAGTTCACGATGGGATTGCCTTTCTTCCTGAAGCAACTTGCCAAGCGAGATTCAATCAAGACCCTGACCGGTGGGCCCTGAGCTCTACTTGGAGGGTTGGGGGAATGGGTAAGTATATTTGGACCGTATGAGATGCTGTAACAGCCTACTTACAAAGTTCGCCAGACCCTCCGCTCAGCAAATCTGGTCCCGGATGCTGTTGGCCTTTGGACAGTTGTAGGTGCTTTGTCGAACCTCGGCCATCTTCACTGCGACTTACAACCTTCAAACAAGCGAGGTTCCAAAAGATTAAGATTGCGACCTCCCGGCAACAGGAAAAAATATCGTGAGGGGTATCTAGGGAGGCCATCGCGATGAGCAATTCCAATCCGATCCATCTGGACCATCTGGGCATGAAAGATTGGTACCCGGCTATCCTTCCCTGGCAGGTACTATGGAACCTTCACCTACACGATCCTGACAATGTTTGCCGCTCGGCTACTACACGTGCAAAGTGTCTGTCTGCTTGACAGTCTGGTTTGAATGAGCTTGCCAATCAGAATTTCCCCATCCCAGAGGCTCTTCAACGCTGTAGATTCCAGGTGCTGCAGCAGCAGCAGAAGCAGCAGAAGCAGTGCGTGGGAAAAGTGGTTCCTCCAAGCTAAGGAAGTGATCTTTGCCAACTGGCCTATTCCGTGCCGAATCCTCGTGGACTATGTCCATGAATGGTACCAGACCATTCTGATATACGTGTGCTTTCCTGACCTCATGACTATGGTCAGGTACGGAGGAGGGTCATGTTTGTTATCTGTGCAGGTACTCAATATTCTTCATCATCTACCGCTGCGTTGTGGGTTTCTCGGTGGCAGGACACTCCAGCAGCATAGAGGCATAGATGCAAGCTGCCTCATGCTGTGCTGCAACTGAGGCTTCTGCGTGCTGAATGAGCGGCCCTCAGAACAGTAGTACTCAGTAGAAACCATGTAGGTAAACATGGCTAGCAGCACAGACTAAGACAAGCCCAGCATGCCTGAACTCTGTGGTGCGAACAACTTGAGGTGGTTGGTGCTGTCTTTGTGCAGCAAACTATGTGCCTCAGCTGATCTGCTCTACACATGAAGCTGTGGGTCTAGATTTCATGGCAACCTAGTGCGGCTGCGCTTTCGCCCAAGGAAGTTGGCTGCAGATGACCACGATCTCTTCATGCAGCAGCAGACCCGCGCAGCCGAAGCGTACACACGGAAGATCAAGGATGTGTGGCTCAGCTCAGACGTGATCAGAAGCTTAATTCTGTTGCCATTCTCTTCCAGCAACACGTTGACATACGAAAGTTTTCAAACATTAGGGTGCCTTTTTGGGGTGTCCCTATAAAGCGGAGCATGCTAAAGGACGCCCCTCCCCTTTCGGAACTCCCCCATCGTCCTCCAGAGTCTGAGTCCATCATAGCCTTGCAGAGAGACCACCCTAGACCCCTAAACTCTATAAAGCCTAAACCTTAGACCCCAGACCCTACATCCTGAAACCTTAAGCCCGAAACCCGAAAAATCTTAAGCCCTAAGCCCCAGACCCTACACCCTGAAACCTTAAACCCGGAATACACCCTAAACCTTAAACTCGAAACCCTAAGCCCCTGAACCCTTAACCCCTAAACCCTCAACCAGCCTTTTTCTGTACCAAGGTTCACCAAGCTGGACATGTCAGGCCGGGACTGAGGTTTGGGGTTTAGGATTTAGGGTTTCAGGATTTAGGGTTTAAGGTTCAGGGTTTAGGGTTTAAGCTTCAGGGTTCTAGGTTAAAGGGCTTGTTTTAAGGGTTTGACGTTTGAGGGTCAGGGTTCTAGGTGTAAGGGTTTAGGGCTTAGGGTTTAAGGTAGAGGTTTTAAGGGTTTAGGGTGTAAGGGTTTGGGGATCTAGGGTCTAGGTCTTAAAGTTGAGTTGTTAGGGTTCTGACATGATCCATCCCAAGGATGCATGGCTCATGACCAGCCCTAAACCCGAACCCCCCTGCGTGCAATCCCTAACCCGCACTCCTGATTCATAAACACCCTCCCCTTAATAGGGGTTAGAATAGAGATCCTCATTTTTATGCCCTTAAAAGGAGGTTGTTTACGAATCATGAGTCTACATGATACCAACCCCTATGTAAACTCAAGGTCCTTTGCATCATCTAAGTTCTTGTACATCTGGTTCGGCATCATTCTTACCATACAAGGGTTCAAAAAAGCTTAAACTCTAAACCCGAACTTCGGCAGGTGAAGGATACATCTACATGGAGGACTGGAACGGCAACTCTTGGGTCTCTTTAAAAGCTGAAGACTGCACAGATGTCGGGTTTATAGGGTTTAAAGACCTATGAGTTCTGGCAACATATTTCTAGACGAGCCCGCCCACACCCGAAGGAGTTTGTTGAGATTCTCAATACCCCGACCATGCTGCTCGGCTGCAGTTCCGCAGTGTGGTTCATGGGAGAACAGAGGCTTGACCTTAGGGTTTAGTAGGAATGAAGGAATGGACAAGAAAGTGGAAACTACTATAGGGTTATATAGGGTGGGTCTGATACACAGATTCGCAGGGTTTGTAATGCAATACCAGTGTTCTCGTTTGGAGATATCATTCCTTCTTTAAGTAGGGTATTGTACCATTGGTACCCCAACACGCCTATACATACATATGCGTACAGATATGTATATGGGTATATACAGATCCAGAGAGAGAGAGAGAGAGCCAGGAGTGGCCATGATCCTGTAGTATCTCTCTCTCAGAACTGCGGTGTATGAAAATAGGAGCCCATTCCTGATTACCTACAGCTTACAGCTGCTATTCGTTCGCTGGTTGGACCCATTCGGGAAAGACGAGTGGAGATTGGAAGCGCCAGGACCACAAAAGCGCAAGCCTTCTTGCACTGCCGGCCGAGGTAGATGCAATCACTCAAGTCAAAGAGGAATTTTGACCTTGTAGGCCCTTGTAGCCACCATTATAGATTTCATTGGTGTTTCTTCAGGAAGGCCCTACTAGTTGCCAGATGTTGTCAGCAGTCCGTTGCCGTCCCAACATATTCTGCATGCTGTTGCTGATGCCACAACAGAAACCTCTGCTGCTGCTGCTGCTGCTGCTGCTCTTTTGCTGCCTTTGTATGTGGTTACCGCAGCTACTTCCCCTCGCTGTGCTTCTTGATCGTCATCGCCTGCCCCTCAATTTGCAATCATATAGCCTGCGAAGATTTTATGCCGAGGTCCCACTTCATGGCCAAGCTGGAGCTGGAGTCCACAGATTTGCTGAGTCTCTTCAAGCTGATTGATGTGGACGACAGCGGGCAGGCCCTGTTTGGTGCGTTTTGCTTTGCTGGTGAGGCTTGGGTCGTGATGTCTGGCTTTGTCCGAATTCGACGCGTCATACAGGATCTACTTCTTGGTACAGGTGGAGTATGCGAGTAGGTTATACTGAGAAAGCTGGGGTAATTATGTGTTCTGCGGGTTGTATGTATACTCACTAAGCTATTTAGGTGCGCTTTTCGCCAGAGGCCTCATGCCAATCGGACACCTGAAGCCAGAAGCACCAAACTCTCTTTTCATCATACCGATCAGAACTACAGTCAGCGCATCTCCTCTTACCCCAGGGTTTTTGAATATGGCAGTGTCGGACCCGAATATACGAGAAGCCTTATTATACGGGGCCCACCAAAAGGGACCCCGAGTTTCCGGAAACCCTGACATTATCGCTCTTCTTAGTGCTGCTGCTATGGGGTCTGTTATGGCTACCTTCGACTTAACCCTAAGCCCCAAACCAAACCTTCCCTACCTATCTCTGTAGACCCCTATGCCCCAAGATATGCCGATACCCCACTATATAACGATTCTCATAGCTTTACTTATCCCCCAGCTAGGTAAGAAGGCACTCAAGTTAAAAGCCAGGTTGTAGCGTAAATCCCCTGATAGCTACGAGTCTGGATAATATTGGTTTATGCAAGATACCAACCTACCCAGAAGCCAGTAGCCGAACGCTAATCTGCCATCATTTTTGGATAACGCAGCTTTGTTTTGGGGTATCCAGGCTTTCTACCCTAAACCCTATAAACCCTATTCCCTATATAACCCAAATATACTATAGTAGCTTCCATTTTCTTTTCCGTTATCCCTATATTACCCTAATATAGCCCTAATAGACCCTAAACTGAACCCCAAGCCTTCCACCTGGAGATAGGTCTCCTTGGAGGACTTCATGACGGGCTGCCAACGTCTGAAAGGGCCTGCCAAGAGCTGGGAGCCACAGACCTCTACTGGCTTTATAGGGTGGAGGGAGGAAATCTTGCACCCAGTGTGCCCCTGAACTCTACGAGTTGTAGCAGCATCATAGGGCAGTACCATAGGGGTCTTAAGTGGTGCATGATTTCCTCCAGTTGCAGTAGGATTCAGGGTATGGGGTTCAGATTTGATGTTAGGACCAACGCTGTGAGCAAGGACTGGACAAGCCCTTTTCGGCCTTAGTTCCCCGTTTCATCCAGATTTGTGCCCCAACCTTTCCACAGTTTTCCTAAATCCTGTCACTCGCTTTGCCTACGCCCTAAACCCTAAACCCCAAATCCTGTCACTCTCTTTGCCTTTTGAGGCGTGGATTTGGCCCTGCTCCTTGCCCACACGGCACGGCTCAACTGCAAAGTGGACAACGTCCTCCATCTCGTTGGCGGGGAGGTTGAGCCAGGGTTTGAGGTTCCAGGATAGCTTGGTTTGTTTAGAGTTTAGGGTTTTCTTGGGGCTTGGGGGGTGCTGGGTGGGGGGATATATTGGGATTATGTAGGGAGAATGGAAAAGAACATGGAAACTACTATATGATGATGGGGAATATTTTGGGGTTTGGGATTTTCTTGTGGTTTTGGGGCTAGGCGCGTCGGGATCGAGGGTCTACATTCAAAAGATGAATGAGAGCCCTTATATGACTATGTTATACCATATCTGACATGAGCCCATTATGGATTCCCAGGCCATCAATGCTCCCAGTATGTTTAGGCCAACTTAACTTAACTCACTGGGATGCCATCCTCAGGGGAACATGGTTTTTGTGTACCTGACAAGGGACCTCTCAAACAAGAGCAGGTCACACAAGACACAAGGATCTCATCTCGGGATGCCCAAGACTGAAGCCAGTTCAGATTGGTACCTTTCCCTCAAAAGTTGCAGTGCCCATGTAGCCTCCATGCTCCGTCGTCGGCTAGGCCCCAAATGGGGGCACGGAGGTCCCTATGATACGCTGACCGTTTTGAAGGATTTTGGGGTAAAAGGGAGCGATTGTTATGTTGTCTACATGCCCTGGCCAAAGCCCTTGAAACCTTGTGAGGCCCTTCATCGCAGAGATGCCTTACTCTGAAGGTAGCACTAACTAGACAGGGCCATGTCCTCCAACTTGGTAGTTTCCAGGGGACCCCAACATAGACCCCAAAATACTATACTCCAAGGGTACTAAAAGAGTCCCTGGCAGACTGGATTGGAAGACTGGGGCTATGGAGCTGCCGGAGATCAGAAGCTAGAGCAGCGCTTCCTCCACTCAGCCTCGACGCTGAGGCCGGGGACGTTTACAGCAGCATCCCAGGTAATTAACACCCCCGCACCCTCATAAACATTATTCACCCGTTTTTTTCCAGCACGGAAAGGGATTGTCTGGAACATGTACGATTGAACGTTGTTCGTTTTAGAGCAAGGGGACTGCAGCAGGCTCCGCAAACCTTATTTGGTCTCTCTCTCCGTCTACCTCTCTCTCTCTCCCTTGGTTTGATTTCGTGCACGCACTTGATGTGCTTCAGCCATTGCATCTGCGTAGTGGGCAAGCAAATCCAATATTCAAATGGAGTCATTAGGAGGCTTCGGTGGCAGGCCCCCGCTCCTTCCGGGAAGTTTTTTTAAACCCTAGCATCCCCCTGAATAACCCTTATAGACCTATAGTGGTCCGCTATGCAGTCCCTTGTCTAATCCCCTTGGGTATCCGCAAGAAATGTGTGAACTTGGCAACATTCAGGAATTTCTGCACTACTTACCTTTGGTTAGCTGGGAATGAAGGAATGAACAAGAAAATGCAAACCATTATGACGACTATAATGGCTTTTGTAGAGACTACTATAAGGATCTATTCCTTCATTCCTACCTAGCCAAAGGCCAGATAGGTAACATTCAGGAATTTCTTGGCCAAGGGCATTGCCTCAAATGGTTTTGGTATTGTTTCCTTCTTGCACCAAAACCTGTTGGGACCTAAGCATGTTTCAGTTGGCCTTAACACAGGGACCCTTCCAGCTGTGTTTTCTTTCTAGAAATCTGCAAGGCAAAAGTGAGCCAACATGAACACCTAAGCTGGCCTATCATTGGTGTCCATTGGTCTCTATAGGCACCTGCAAGGAAGCTTATCCGCCGCAGAAATACTGCCCCTTCAGCATCCCGTACCTGTAACTCCAAGGGCCTGAAGTTTAGTAGTTGGGGGTCAACAGCTTTGAGATTGGGAGCTAAAGGTGCCCGGTCAGGCCCCTGTAAAGGCGAGGGCTAGTCTCAATGAGGTTGACTCCTAGGAAATTGTATGTGCATGAGTTGTTTCACATTGAATGACCTATATTCCGCATGGTACACTTGGTAGTAATTATAGGGTTCAGGGTTTAAGGTCTAGGGTTTAAGTCTGTACCCTCTTACTCAGTATGAAACTGTAGGTAATCGGGGTTACAGGTAAGCCTTTAACCGCTGTGATTTCCAAGTGCCACGGCAAGTTGAAGCCTTCCCCCATTTCATTGATATGCGGGCTTCCAGGAACAGGTACCCCAGCTAAAGACCCACATGTAGAATGAAAATTATTACAGGGACTCCCAAACAGGGACCCATAAGTATTGAAATCAGGAGTTATATATATATATATAATTATGTAGAGCCCCATAAACCCTCGCATGTCCCTACATCCCACATATCCAGACAAACAGGACCGGGTCGACTCGCAACCGTGACTCGCAGTCCACCACATCCATGGACTCCGTAGTGCCAGGAGTTGTGGGTGTCGGCCCTTAAAGCGCGCCGTCAACCTGTGCGAGGCAACAGATACATAATAAGGCTCACTAGCTGTCCTAACAGTCGTAACATGTAAAAGCAAGGAACAGCAGAAGTGGCACCATAGCAGTATCTGAGAAGAACAGACAGAAGCAGGAAGCATGTTGAAACCCTACACCCTAAACCCTATCGAACTCATTATGGTAGTTCCCATTTTCTTTTCCATTATCCCCATAGAACCCCAATATATTCCCTATTACTACCTCCTTGCGAAATTGAGGTCCCGTTCACAGGTCCCACATTTTCACCTGCGGGCAAATCCTGCAGAATTCAGGCCTGTAGCCTGCATCCATCAGGGGGGCTTGTTGTTTATATTGGGGTTATATATTGGGATAAAGGAAAAGAAAATGGAAACTACTATTTAGGGTTTAGGGTTTAGAGTTTGGAGGGTCCCAGCAGTTTTTCCAAGATTTTTTGGGGTTAGGGCTTGCGAACGTTTGTTTGGATTGTTTGGACGGATCGTCGAGTCTGCAACGCGAAGCGTCTTGCATTCGTCGATTTTAGCACGGAGCTCCGTTCCCAAAGGGCACATGTAGCTGTACAGTAGATACTTGGGCCCTGAAGAAGTAACTAACATGGGAACCCCTTTTGGGCACGAAGTCTGTATGATATACCTACCCCAACCCTAAACTTAACCCCTATACTATACAGCTACATGGACCCTTTGGGATTTGCAGGGCAGGCGGATGCAATGGGGGCTTGTCTCGAAACACGCGTCCTGCCGCGCAACCCCCCGGGCGGTGAAATGGCATTATGGAAATGTAGTACAATTTAGGATAAAATAAGGGTTTAGGGTTTAGGGCAATTATATAGTATAGTATTTATGGTGTAGTATAAATATAGTATTAAGTAGAACCTAACCCACATGGGGCTTTCTGTCTTGACACGAGTGGCCTTTTTTGGTATCCACCGTAAGGAGTTTAGACCGTAGCTCATATGCACTTTTGAGGGAACTGCCAGAATTTGAAGAAGTAGCAGAAGAAGTAGCTGAGTCCTTACTGAATTAATACATCAGAATGGTCACAGGCCTGCTAAGAGAGCAAACCCCAACCTTGGAACTAAGCCCCCAAGGCACTCTGCGTGACCTGCAAGCCCAAGAAGGCTGCATCGTTCTCTTCTTCTCCATCTTGTCGATGGCAGAAATCGGGCACAAGCTAGGCCCCTAGATGTAGAGTAACTCTGCAAATGAAAGCAGCGCATGCCTGCAGAGTTTCTCCCATCGACAGTCTCAATGCATGGGTGCGGCTCCCTCGAATTTGTTTTATTTGGGCTGCGCTGAGCATTTCGTACAAGCAGAAATATCTAAACAAAGGGTTCAAGCTATGGATATGGTATATCTACCTAGGCCCCAAAGTACCCATATAGGAACCACTTTGGACCCCAAATATATGCTATGTAGGTAGCTGGACCCTTTGGATAAGAGGTACAACAGATCAAAGACTTTAAGTTTGTACCCTTAATTTTTGTACCCCTAAGTCTTGGGTCCCAAATACCCTTATTGAGGGCCATATTCCATGGTTTAGGGACCCAAAACCCAAGGGTACAAACCCTAAGGGTACAAAGGAAAACTCCCTGAACAGACCAGAGGATGAACTAGGACTCTACGGAAGTCTTGATGAAATGCTTTTCCAGCGCTGCGCCCATCTTACCTTTGGTGGGATAGGGTTTAGGGTTTGGGGTGGGAACGAAGGAATAGAAAAGAGCATGGAAACTACTAGAATGGGTTAGTATAGGGACTACCATAGGGATCCATTCCTTGATTCCTGGCACACCAAAGGTAAGCCATGGAATTCATTATCCATCTTCCTGGTGCTTGGTAGTCAACGGAGGATTGGGTTCTCATGTGTTGGCCCACATCTACTCCCTAGTATGTACTCCGAACACTGAAGGCCCTAAACTGTAAACCCTACACGGTAGTTTCCCCAAATAAGGGGACCCCAATATAGACCCCAAAATACTATAGTCCTTATTATAGGGACCCCCAAAATGGTACCCCCAATTTTAGGAAACCCTAATCCCTATAAACCCCTACATAATCCCAGTTTCCATTTCATTTTCCATTTGATTCTCCATTATAGTAGGTACCCCTAATTTTGGGAAACCCTAAACCCTAAATAGTAACCCTAATTTCAGGAAACCTCCAAATCCTGAAACGCACTCCGCCGTCTCTGAGCACCAGGAGTCTTAGGCGCCCTCGCTCTGCCCCTCGGAGGAGTCTCTGAAAGATAGCCTTTGGGTGGACAAATGTGGTAGTTTCCCAAAATAAAGAACCCCAATTTTGACCCCAATATACTATAGTCCTTATTATGGAGACCCCCAGAATGGTATCCCCAATTTTGGGAAAGCCCCATGTAATGTAGAGGTTCCCTAAACCCTCAGCTCTTCTGGTGTCGGGTCTAAGGTTCCCTTTTGGGCCTGGGGAGCCTACCTAGGTATCTCAACAGAGAAAAAGGCCATAGGTGCGATGACCTCTCACTCCAACAGTCTGGGCTAAGATGAAATCAGGGATGTGGGAACTTTTGCCCACCTCATGTTCAATAACCTTCACTTATCATGGGGCCCTTGTAAGGGTCCTTACACACCTGGAATCACAGTACTTGCAGGGGCTGACTTTCGCCAGATGCCCATTTGGGAGACTTCGGCCGCCAACCGCTTTTCAAGCCAGGCTGTGGCAGGCACAGCCGCTACAATCCAGGTAGGCTTTCCCCGGCACCAGACTTGGCAAAATGAGTTACCATAGTACACCCATTCTCAAAATTAGCCAACCGCTTTTCAAGCCAGGCTGTGGCAAGCCGCTACAATCCAGGTAGGCTTTCCCCGGCACCAGACTTGGCAAAATGAGTTACCATATTACACCCATTCTCAAAATTAGCCATATCGTAAGTAACAGGGTTTCCTTCTCATTGTAATTACAAAGAGAAGAAGTTCCTCAGCAGCAACCCAGTCGGGCCAGGAGGGCTTGGCAAACCAAACAGGCGCACAGGCACTCCTTCCTCTATTGCAGGGTTATATATGAGCTGGAGTCTAAACTTCTTAAAGGGGGTTACATAGGGGATTATATAAGAAACGATTATGGGGGTTTCTACGGGATACTAGGAGTTCAGAGTATGGCGCATATGGTAGGTTTTCCAAAACATGGGCTTAGCTGGTTTATATGGTAGGTTGTCGAAATTATAGCCTTAGGGTTACAGTAGGTTTCAAGGCTCTTTCTTGATTGTTGGTTTATATGGTAGGTTGTCAAAGTCATTCATGGTCCCCTTTCGGGGACGCTGTACCGGACGAAACCAAAAAGGCACCACAATTCTGATTTTTCAGGGGTTCAAAAAAGGACTGTGCATGGATCAGCTGGTTTGATTGGCATTTTTGAGGCGAGGCATTTTTTGGATCTCCTTCACGATAGGATGGCCTTATCTTGACGGTACCTAGAAATCCCATGCTCTGGCGCCATATATAAACTTTGACAGCAGCCCCTAAATCCGATGTAGGTATGACTTCTAGACGACTTCGAGCCACAGGGATAGCCTCATTCTCATGTCCGAATGAATTGACCCAAACGGCCTGTTTGGCGCGCCAAGTGAAAAGGAGAGCCACCTGCAGACAAGGGAGCCCCCCTGTCGGGACATTCGGTTGATGGACAAAATCCTGCATGACTCCAAGTCTAGTATTCTGCCAAAGTTCTCAAGGATTAGGCATATAGAGTCATGCCGGATTTTTTCCATCAACAGTTCCACCTGGCGATGTCTCAAATTCGTGCTCTGGAGGATGTAATTAGTGCCATAATTTTTGAGGTATCTAACACGGGCATCGCACGTTCTGAGACATTCCCATCTGTGACCATGGCGGCTTCAATCGTAAGAGGCCATGCCTACGAATTTTGAGAGCGCTCAGAGAGCTTGGGAGTGTGTAGCAGTAACAGCATCAGCAGCAGAACCCTAAACCCTAAATCTTAGACCCTAAACCCTAAACCACGCTTCATCATGGTAACAGTTTTCAGGGTTCAGCCCTGCTTTTCTGAGCCATAACTGCAGTTGGGGCATTTTAGGGGCTTGCGGGCCAGAGCAATTCGCGCCGCGTATGCACGGCAAAAGGAAGGCATTTGTTGGTTTGCAAGTGCCAAAATTTGGTAGTGCGGTCTACCCATGAGCTGCTATGTCACAGCTATGTACTTCCTTTTTGGGTTTCTTATGGCTTTTGGTAAGTAATTCTGCTTTTTTTCCTCAACACCTAAAAGCCTCAACCCTAGTTCAAATGTAAGTCCCAAACTTCCCCAAGGATCCACATAGCCCAATGTAGGTAATCTCTATAGACTTGTTGGCCCAATGGTAGCATTTAGAGGCTTGGATCCCTTTGAAGAAAATTGTATCTGGCTGCAGCTTTCCTCCCTATGTGGTCATGTCCAAAAACAGGGGTTCCCATTTTCCCCCAAAATACTGATATCCCTCAGGAGGACCCCCCCACCCTGTAATGAAATATACAGGGCCTGTTAAGTTAATCCATATTATCCCTTATAGTCACTATTGAAGGGTGGGGGGTTCACCTAAGATATCCCAATAATACCCAGAAGGAGATTTCGTTTTAGTTAAAGCCCCCAGGCAAGATCCAGTGGGTGTGCAGTTGCAAGAAAGCTTCCCTGGCCTTGAGGGTTTAGGTTGTAAGGTGGAGGCTGGGTTGGCGGTTGAGGGTTATAAAAACTTGGTAGTTTCCATAAATAGGGGGACCGCCATAAAGACCCCAATATACTATGATCAAACCCCCAACCCTAAACCCTAGACCCCAATATACTAGTATTGGGACCCCAAAATGGTACTGTACCTCACTTTGGGGAAACCCCCACTGCTCGTTTCCCAAGTTTTCTGAGGTCTCGGCCAACAAGTGGCTGCAGTACATGGTGCGGCCGCAGTCCCAGGGAGGTGTAATTAGGGTTTAGGGTTTCGATTTAGTGTTTAGGGTTTAGGTTTAGG